TCGTCACATGTGGTTGCCGCAAGCCCACTGGCCACTCCTTCGTCGAATCCGCTGGCTGCGCCGTTCTCAAGCCCATCCGCTCACTCTAGCCCTCCGGCCTCCGCTCACTCTAACCGCCGGCCTCCGCTCACTCTAGCCGCTGGCCTCCGCTCACTCTAGGCCGCCGGCCTCCACTCACTCTAGTTCTGACTCAGACTGTAAGTATGTTTTCATTTAAAGGATTTGCCACTGATGATTCAAACGCAAGTTTTGAGCAGTGTAGAGTAGCGCTTGTTTGTCATTTCTCAGATCACAAATGCAGACATGGTTCTATGTTTACATGGCAAAGATGCAACGCAACACGTAAAAAGACAGTATAAGTCATTATAATCCATAATTATGTCCCCACTGGATGCAACAAATGCCTCGTTTGTAATGGGTTTTCATGTTTTTGAATCGTCGCTCCGGCCGGACAGGGCATCACAGTATGGTAAGGGGCGTAACATTTTCGTCACACGCTTGAGGTATTCGGCCAATCACAACGCACTGGATAGCTGGCCTGTTTTGACCCTGCCACTCTTTGAATAAAGCCTGCATTTGGATCCTCAACTCCATTGTCACGCCTTCCACGTTACAGAATACTTAGCCCAAACACGGATCCAGTGGCTTTGGATTGTTTTCATGGACAGTATGGACCCAGCGATCAGGTTAGTTGCCCTCTGACAGGGAATGCAATCCCTCGAGGACCACATTCAAGACTTTTTGGACATTGCTTATCACTCTGATCTCCCGGACTATGTGCTCTTTGTTTTTTTTTCGATTATGGACTGAATCAACCATTAAAATCACAACTCATTCATGATGGTCCTCGAGGGTTGCTCGAAGGGTTTACTGTGGGAGAGACGGAGGACTTTAAGAACCCTAAGAATTTGTTGGGAGGGGCTATAACTGGCAAGCTCCAGCAACAGCAGAGCTTGGTTCACTGGGATCACCGTCAAGTCAAGTGATTATGGTAGCCACTCCTGTGTTCTCAGCACTCCTCAGTCCAGTGGCTATCACAGCAGAGCCTCTACACAAGATGGCCGCCAACCCAGAGTCTCTTCACAAGATGGATGCCGTTCCAGAGTCTCGTCCCGTCAAGGCCGCCGTTCCAGAGTCTTGTCCCCTCAAGGCGACCATGCCCAGTGCCTCAAGGTCGGTTCCAAGGCGTTTGAAATTGGCATCCAGTGTGGAGGATCCACTGCTGATATCGGTGCGAGCAGCAGGTATCCCAAGGGCCTTAGAAGTCCTCACAGAGACTGTTCCCCTGGACTCAGTGCTCCCTGTAATGGCGGTGGCCATCCTGTGTGTTTGGGCTACTCACTGCTCTGTTACTCCTCCTAAGGCTGCTCCAGTCCATGAGTCCATGCCAGAGCCTGCTCCAATCCTCGAATCGGCTCCAGAGCCCGCTCCAGTCCTTGAGTCCGTTCCAGTTCCCTCGTCACGGTCAGGATTGCAGTTCCCTGGTCCTATGACTCCAGTTCCCTCGTCATGGCCAGGAGTGCCGTTCCTTGTTCCTTTGACTCAAGTTCCCTCACCACAGCCAGGAGTGCCGTTTCCTGTTCCAATGAGCTGAGGTGGCGGCTTGTGCTGCAGAATCTCCCGAAGTGGCGGCGTCTGCTCCAGCTCCTCCTGAGGTGGCGGCTTCTGCTGCAGAACCTCCAGAGGCAGCGGCTTCCGTCTTTGAACTCTCTGACTGTCCTGTCACGGCCAAGGAGGCCACTGAACTCTCTGCTGGTCCTGTTACAGCTGCAGAGGCCATTGTTAACCTCTCTATGCTCTCTGTTTCAGTCCCGCCTGATCCGCCATGGTGGATCTGTCACGATCTTCAGCAGCTTCACCCCTGACTCTTGCCAATCTCACAGACTACATTTCCTACAATCCTTTGCCGGACTCATCATCTCTGATTGCATTCACCGGTGTCTTGTTACCTCATAAGTCTCACCCTATTTAAAGCTTGGCTCAGTATTGTTGGCCTTTAGCGTTCCCTAGTTACTGTGTTTTCCTAGCTCCTTGTTCCTTGCCTTGCCTTGTTTTTTGACCCTGGACTGTTATCTGGTTTTGTGATAGTTTGCTGCCTGCTCTGACCATTGCTTGTTTATTGGATTACTCTTTTGTCTGCCCTGGAATATACCTGTTTGCTGCTGTTTGACCCTGTCTGTTTTGTCCACTCTTTGAATAAAGCCTGCATTTGGATCCTCAACTCCATTGTCACGCCTCCCACGTTACATTAGAGAACACTTACAGATACCTCCAAGTTGTTGTACCTACATGTATATGTTAATCAGGCGCTAATTACATGACAAACTATATTTAACTGTCAGCATTCCTCTAATTTTCACTGAGATTGCAAGATGGCAGGACGCTCTAAGGTGACTGAAACCCTGCAACAGCAGGTTGTCCAGATGAAGGCCAAATGTATGACCATTTCAAAAGCTGGTCATTCCAAATCTGTGATTTCTAGAATATTGCAGCTTTACATTGACACTAATTCATTCAAGTCCCTCAAAAAGGCTGGTTGTTCAGACAAATGCACGAGAAGACAGAATAATGCAGAGACTCTCAATAGGGAATCAGTTCAACATTGCAGCTGGAATTACTCGCCAGTTCAACGATGAACAGAGTATGGATGTCTTGGCACGATTAAGCAAAGTCGGACTGAAAACACACTGTGACAAAGTGAAGCCTCTCATCAGCAGAAAGAATCAAAAGAACTGGTCCAAAGTTCACTTTAGTGATGAGAGCAAGTTTAATTTATTTGGGTTAGATGGCAAACATTATGTTCGGTGTCAAACCTGGGAAAGA